TGGAGAAACTGAGGAGTTTTGGGATACACCAAAGCACTGTCCAGTGGATTAGGGCATGGTTGACTGACCGAAAGCAGAAGGTAACCACTAGTGGGGAATCATCGGGATGGCGGCCAGTGACAAACAGGGTCCCCCAGGGCTCTGTCCTGGGGCCAATCCTGTTTAATCTTTTCATTAACTACATGGAAGAAGGGGTGAACAGTCTGCTGATCAAATTCGCAGACGACACTAAAACTGGAGCAGTGGCCACAACTGAGGAACAGGTACTCCAGATCCAAAAGGATCTGGATAGACTGTGGAAGTGGACGGGAGACAACAGGATGGCGTTCAATGTGGGTAAGTGCAAGGTCTTTCACTTGGGGCATAGGAATGGGTGGCATAAGTACAGGTTAGGTGACAAGTGGCTGGAGAGCAGCACTTGTGAAATGGACCTCGGGGTACTAGTGGACTGCAGGCTAAACATGAGTCAGCAGTGTGATGCGGTGGTCAAGAGGGCAAACGCCACCCTTGGTTGCATAGCCAGAAGTGTGGCTTCTAGATCAAGAGAGGTATTACTACCACTCTACACGACTCTGGTGTGCCCGCAACTGGAGTACTGTGCTCAGTTTTGGGCCCCTCATTACAGAAAGGATATAGCCAGGTTGGAGTCAGTGCAGCGTAGGGCCACCAGGTTGGTGGCCGGTTTGCAGGGGATGCCGTATGAGGCGAGATTGAGGGAACTGGGTCTCTTCAGCCTGGAGAAGAGGAGACTCAGAGGGGATATGTTGGCGACATACAGGTATGTGAGGGGGTGTCACACGGAGGTGGGTAGAGACCTGTTCTCCCCTGCAGAGGAAGGCAGGACACGCTCCAACAGAGCAAAGCTCAGGGAGCCAAGGTTCCATTTGGATGCCAGGAAGCACTTCTTGACAGTCAGGACCCCGAGGGTGTGGAATGGGCTTCCATGAGAGGTCGTTGGGGCCCCATCGGTTCGGGTGTTCAAGGATAGGCTGGACGTCCACATGGTGGGCATGCTGTGAGCGAAGCCAGCTGGTGCCAGAGGTCAGACTAGATGGCCCGGGAGACCCCTTCTGACTCGCTAAATAAATAAAACATTGAGAGAATTATACAAAGGTTAAAATATAATTAAATCAGCAACAATATTAAAATTATATATGTACCAAAATTAAAACAGCAATAAAACAATCCAAACAACAGATGAATCTAATGTAATCTTAAATATTCATGTACCCCTGAGAGTCCTGATAAGAATGGAAGAGCAATGCTGGATAACAGCAAGGTCTGTTCACTTAGTGGCAAACCAACTGACTGTGGAGACCCACAAGTGGGACTTGGGTGCAACAACATCCTCCCAGTCATGTTCCCCAGCAACTAGCTTTGGCACTGGAGGCAGTTTATAGCCAATGGAATTAGTAGCCATTGGTAACCTCCTCCTCCTCCATTATTTGCCTATCTTGAACATTCAACCAAAAAGAATCTATGGTACTGAGGCAATGTCTGATTATTAGTATCCAAGATTTTGTACATTTTATAACTAGGATTTTTTTACAGAAGAAAATGTGCCGTTAGAAATATTTATTCTACCTTGTAAGATTTTTAGCAGAAACTGCTTTTAAGGGGTCAGAAGGGGCTGTGTATTCTGTTGTAAATGTGGTGCTCTGAAGGAATTAGAGAAACAGCTTTGCTTCCAGGTGGCAACTTTGTTTCTGTAGACACAGAATAATGGAATGCATCTTCTGTCCTTTTTATTTAATCCCTCCTACTCAGGAGCAATCTGCAAGGCTCTGACATAAAGATGCCGACTGTTTCATTCTGCTATCATAAATGATATTTTACTCATAAAAACTAGGTTCTGAAATATGTACAAGAAGAGATTCCAGCTAAAGTTGCATTTTTGGTTGCACTATTTAAGTTTGTGGAATTGTACTGCTGGATACCGCCCTGTCGGTGGATGATCTCTTCCTTCTTCCTTATTTTCAGTATCTTCTGATATGTTAGTAAAGATGTTGAACTTCTTACAGCTAGGATTTTTTTTTTTTTTTTTGCCACAAAGATGGAACAGTACATAATTATGAGTAGTTTAGCAACAGGGGACCAAAGAAAGCATCATGAAGAATATTTTCTCTTGTCTTCATATTAAAATCCCAGTTCCTTAAATTTGTTCACAAGCTGTACTGGACACCCCACTAGGACAATGGCAACCCTCACTCTATTTGAGGATATTTCAGTTTTGTTGGGGAAAGCAAGTTCCAGGAATATTTTAGCTTTTGTACAAAACTCCTCCAGGTTCCTAAATGTAAAACTATATTCTACCAATATAATAGGAGGAAAATCCTGCTTGTTGTTAATCGCGAAGTCATGTCCGACCCATCACGACCCCATGGACAACACTCCTCCAGGCCTTCCTGTCCTCCACCATCCCCCGGAGTCCACCTAAGCTCATGCCGACTGCTTCAGTGACTCCATCCAGCCACGTCATCCTCTGCTGTCCCCTTCTTCTTTTGCCGTCAATTGTTCCCAGCATTAGGCTCTTCTCCAGTGAGTCCTTCCTTCTCATTAGGTGGCCAAAGTATTTGAGTTTCATCTTCAGGATCTGGCCTTCTAAAGAGCAGTCAGGGTTGATCTGCTCTAGGACTGACCGGTTTGATCGCCTTGCGGTCCAAGGGACTCACAGGAGTCTCCTCCAGCACCACAATTCAAAGGCCTCAATTCTTCAGCGCTCAGCCTTCCTTACGGTCCAACTTTCACAGCCGTACATTGCAAATGGGAAAACCATAGCCTTGACTATATGCACTTTAAAATCCTGCTATGAAGGTCAGAAATGAAATAGCCTGTAACAGGAATCAAGGAAATCCATGGGGATTGTGCACCATAAATCTGGGATGGATACAATAAAACACTGATTAGGTGAAAGGTACTTACTCTCTTTTTGTGCTTGCAGTTATAATGTATTTACCAACAAAGGCACTTGTGTGAAGTGAGTATGTTACAACCACACAATTCATTTTATAAGATCTAAAGACTTTAAAGGTAATCATCATAATCAGCAGGTGTTCAAATGATGTCTTAACAAAATATGTGCAAATCTAGTTGCACAGAAACCAATCCAGTGTACTTCACTGCACAGACATCTCCACCACTACATGATCTTGTACACAGGGTCTCCAACACTGAGTATTCCAGTTTTATCAATTCCATACCGCCATCCAAAAGGAGGTTCAGACTTAAAATCATGCTGTTCAGAAGGATCACACTTGCGGTAACTGTAATCATAGGAAAGGGTATGATATATCATTGGCCAAAAAATAGAATTAGGCTAAAATAATCTTGACATAACTATGAATAAAGTACAGAGGAGGACTGTACTTGATCATGAATGTCAAGTACAATGCATATCAGGAAAGTAGTTAAGGAATATTTCATTAGCAGCGCTACGAAAGCAGAATCATTTCTTAGAATGGAACGCTTGTATATAAACAGCCAGTGTGGTGTGGTGGTGCAAGAGTTGGACTAGGGAGCTGGGAGGTCCAGGTTCTAGTTCCTGCTTGACCTTGAAGCTCACTCAGTGACTTTGGGTCAGTCACTCTCTCTCAGCCTAACCTACCTTGCAGGGTTGTTCTGTTTAGAAAGAATGGAACTATGTAAACCTTCTAGGGTTCCTCACAAGAGGAAACAGGCATGATATAATCACAATACTATATTTTAGTTAATTGTTTATTTATTAATTACAATTCTGCCCCCACCCATTAGCCAGGATGATTTTTTGGGTGGCTACATTATATTAGAACAATAATAACAGCAACAACAACAAGGTTTATATGTGCTACAGGCAAATGTTCTTATGCAGCATCATTTAAAACTTTCACAAAGCAGCTACATACTGTGATCTCTCATTCTAAATCAAAACTCCATAGCTTTACATATTAGACAGGCATTGACATTTCTAGGGCTTTGGTGCTCACTTAAACAAACTTGTTTGAAGAAGCTTTCCCAAAATGAGGATTATGCCCTCAGTATACAAGCATAAACAAGATTTTATTATGGCCTTGTTTATCACTTAGGGCACAATCCATTGCATTCTTTTGGATATCGCTTAGCCTCTCCCCCAGCATTATCTCAGGGAGGAAATAGGATTCTCTGGAGTCCCGGCACTGATGTCAGAGGACCTCCATGCTCAGACTCTGACAGTGGGAGCCTCATCCATGCCCTTGCAGCTGGTGGAAGGGCAAGAACCATGCTGTCTGCCTCCCCAAGGGTGGAAATGCGACTCAGAGATGGGGAAAGGGGACACACTGGGGAGTGGAGAGAGGAGGAGGCTAGAATCAGCTGTCTACCTGTGCTGATTCCCCTTGGTTGGTGCCCCAACCTCCTTCCCTTGCCCTCCCTGGGATTTTGGGCAGATGGCCATCTCACTGGGTGAGGCAAGGTGGCTGCAGAGATCACCCCAGGTTTGGAGTGGGGTGCACCCCAAGTGCATGCCCAATCCTCTTCAATATATTGAACTTCCAAGAATGCAAAGGCAAGTGGCATAAGACCCACACAATTTTTGTCTGTACTGCAGGCATTAGAAATGTACCAGTGCTCTTCTGAGGCCTTCCAAAATCTCCCTGAACACATTCCTTAAAAAGCACACAGGTTTTAAAAGCTGCAAGGTCTTATATAACTGTTTCTAAATAGTTTGAGTTTCGGTGGTTTGCTGCTGTTAAGGGTCAGGGATCAGGTTAGAAGAAAAGAGGAAACCTAAAAGTAGGCAGGATCAGTTAATTAAAGGCCCAAAGTGTTTGAAGTTAGAACTTTAGTAGTTCCTCTGTAGAAGTTGATTTACAGTGCAATACCCTAACCCTATACATAACTACTCAGAAGTTTTAATTTAAATGGGACTTATTCCTAGGTAAGTGAGGATAGTGTTACTGCCTCTTTCACAAGCACTAAACTCTAAGTATGAACCAGCAAACCCCCACACACAAATATACATAAAGAAGCAATTATATATCAGTTACCTTTTCAGTGTTTTCAGCGGTTCCTTTCCATCCATGACCCCAATGTCTGGATCAAGGGTTGTGAAAATACATCTGCAGTTATAGAAATTATGAATAGATGCATCCCTCAAGAACAACCTTCATTGCATCAAGTAAGGAGCTTTTCTAAAAGCACTGAAAGCACTTGCTATGGAGTACAGATCGAATAATAATGAGTACAAAGGCAGTGGATCTCTCTTACCTGGGACAAGACATTCTTCCTTTCAACTGCACACTGCCAATTAATATTTCAACCCAAGTGTCCTACAGAAAAATAAATGTGTATCACAAAAAAATGATTACTTGTTTGCATTTAATCATTCTCCTCTAATTCATGCCAGTAGTAAAGTAAGCAACTATGGTCTAAGTTTACTTATAGAAGTAAAGCACTTAACTAGGTCATATTAGAAAAGCAGTTGATATTTATTTATGGACAAACACAGTGATTCTACCGAAGCTGCACACCTTCTTAAAGCTGTTCTGAGAAAAATAAATATTGTAGCACAGAAAACAAAATTCACAAGACATGTTAAAGGGAATCAGTAATACTTACTTCTTCATAAGGACTACAACCTGCTACAAGAATGTTTGGCTGGAAGTTTGTGATTGCAACTTTTTTCTTTAGCTGGCTATTCAGATCATCTAAGGAAGCTTCAGAGATTAGCAAGACTGGACTGCCTTCAGCATAGGCAACCTATACAAATAAACAGAAAAAGTTCTGGTATCGGCAGTGACTGTGCTGTTGAATGTACAACTACAAAAGAAGTTATAGTTCAAAATATCTGGAAAACAAGGCTAATCTAGACTATAAGTAACTGGGTTTTCAATGAACTCTTAGCAAATAACACCAGACACTGAAATTTTCATACAATGCTCTCATCATAATCCTAAACAAACTAGGACAAAAATCCCATTGATTTTGATGACTCCTACTTTCAAGCATGCATGCTATAGATTGGAGCCTGAAACTAATACTGTAGCAGCCTTCTTGGATACAGAAATCAGGGAGCAGTAACAAAATGCTAATTCAATATATTAAATGTGTATTTTTTTAAAAAAGAGGAAACTGTCTTCTGACCTCATCTGTAGCTTGAAAATCAGGCCACATATCACTTGGCTTCCTTGTTATCATGTTTGCTTCATAATGCACCAATCGGCAATGCTCCTTGCTCAGGAAGGTGGAAATCCATTGAGCTGCCTCATCTCCACAGTCCCTACCTTGAGCTTGCATTCCATACCATCTAAAAAATAAGAGACAAATTTCTGTAACTGTTTGAAATGTGTGTCTTCAAAATCATCCTTCATATTTCAAAACTATGAGAGCTCCCACTGCTTTGATATTTTACATCGGGCTTATGTACATGCTTATGTTTCATGCCACAAGGATTAGCACCAGAGAAGCCATATATAATGATTAACAGTGATGTTTTCTGTGCCATCTTCCCTTATATACACCACATAAACCCTAATCTAATATTTATTTCTAAATCCAGAAATAAAAACAGGGAAAGATATCCCATTTTCAGACTGGATCTGGCCCAAACAAGAGTGCAAAGGGAATCAAATGAAAGAAGGATATTAATGAGAACTGGGACATAGAAGCTATTTTTAGCTCTGGGTATTTCCCTTTTGACACCCGTAATAAAGGCTAGTGGGTTTCAGAAAGGCAGAGATATAGCGAACACTAAATAAATTAAGGAAGCCCACCTTAGACTCACAAATTTTATGTCTCAAGACAGTATATAATATAACTTGTGCAAAGTCACTCTGGTTTCATCTACCATTCTATCAATAGCTGCAAATTAGGAGCTACATTCAAAACGTTATTAAGCAGGCAAATATGATTATACCTTTTGTGCCATTTGAAAGGATTGCTACATTAGAAAAGCAAAAGGAATTTCAGATATGTGGTTTACTGCAAGAGATAAATGAGGAAAATGGTACCACAAAACAGTATTAGCAGAGAGTTTGTAATGTTACTATATCTGATTTAGAAATGTGTATGCAGTAAAACAGCATGACTTGGAGTAGATGTACCTCCTTATTTATTTATTACACCTGTAGCATCTCATTGAAAGATACTATACATGTAATAAAGAAATTGTACATATGCAATTAATAAATATGTGGTATTATATTCCTGTCAAAACTGCAAAAATATCCAGATGTATTAGATAACTGTGTAATGTGGAAGCAGTACATTTACCCACATTTGGAGGATATGCAACTGTATTTAAAAATACTAGAAGGACTCTTTTCAGGCTATAGACAATGTGATGGGATAAGGGCTGCATCCTATGGTCTCCAGACATCATCTGAAGGACCACAGGATGCTTCAGAGTCCCAGCAGAAGAAAATCATGCTGGCTGCTTGAGAGCAGAAATGCTCTTGGGATGGGGGAAAGAAGTGTGTCAGGAGGTGGGGAAGGGAAGAATCTGAGGCCTTCTATCTGTACAGATTCCTACCAGTGCCTGAATTTCCTTCCCTGCCCCTCCCTGGTACTCTATCTAGATGGCCATAAACAGCTGCCTAGTCGAGACACATTTGGACTGCAACACCCAGAATTCCCAGTCAGTGGTCCTGCTGGATGGGAATTCTGGGAGTTGCCAGTAGGTTAGGAAAGGCTGGCCTAGATGAAATCTATGGGGTGAGGCATGGTGGTGGAAGAGAGCACCACCAGCACCCCACTCTGTCCTTTGCATGTCTTTGAGTTTGGAGGCTTCCATGCATCTCGGATGGGGGCAATGGAGGTGATCCCTAAGCATGAGTTTCAGTGATCCCCATGAATGGCTCCTTGTGTTGTGTTGTGTTTTTCTAGGTATATGGAAGAACAACTTAAATGACAGCATAAAATGATAGCTGTATTGATTCTAACCATAGGATGTTAATTATTGCGGCCACCCCGCAATAATTGACAGCCCGCGGCCACTACGAGGGCAAAAACGATGGCGCCGTAGCCCCAGATGAGCTGCCACTGCGGCAGCAAGAACGGGCAGAGTGCGGCGGCTTCTGCCATGACCCAGCGGAAGGCGGGAAGTAGTCACGTCAGCGCACAGGGTGGCTTCTCACAGCCGTCGACCTGCTGAAACAGTGGCCGTCCCTACTCGGCCCCTTCTGCCCTCGGGAGGGGCAGGAACACACCGAGGTTCGCCTCCCTCTTGGAGTGTCTTTTCCTCTTTTAACAGCAAAGGTGGCGCACCCTCCAGACTCAGACTCGTTATTCAAGCCCCTGCCCCCACGCACACACTCTTACTTTCGTATCTCCATTCATTTCTTCATTCTTACAGAGTTAAAATCACTGCAGGTATGTCTTTAAAGGGGCTGCAAACCAGAGGAACAGCTTCTCCAGAACTTTCATCCTGCCCCACACAGTGCCACTTCTCTTGCTACCTACCCTTCCTTATCCCATAACAGAATCCAAATCAGATGGTCCCTGCCTACTCTCTGCATCAAACTCCAGGTGAAAAAAGCCTCAAGCTGGAGAGGAGTATGTTCAAAAGACCCAAGTCCTGGGACACTTCATTACCGGGCTAGGGGCAATCCTATTCATATTACTCAGAACCTATGATATAGGTAGGTGTAGGATTACCTTTATTAAAACATTTATATGCCACCTATCATGCCATGGCATCTCTAGGCGGCTCACAATTATATTGTACTGGCACAAGGTTTCTTGAACTACTGCTTACTTCATCAGGCCACTAGTTCAACAAAACTTACATACAGTACTTTTTAATCTAGAATTTGCTATTAAGCAGACACAGTTGACCTAATCTGTCTACAGTTCTGCCTAAACTGACCTGGGAGTAAGAGCCATTGAACTCAGTGAGGTGCACCTCTAAGTAGGCATGCACAGTATCACACTGTTCATGTTTATAAATTGTCTTGAAAACCAGTGTTAAAAACCAATTTGACAGACGTACAGAAAAGGTATTCCCATCCAAAAGTGTTGATGTGGAGAGAGCAGGCAGAGGAATGAACAGGCTTGGTTCACCATCAGCAAATACTCCATCCTCCCTTGCTTTGTGATGGGAGTTGCCAAGCGTTTTAAAAAAAATATCACACATTGATCTCAACTTTGCACTCAGGCAAGAGGTGGCATGTATTGCCCCCATCAAGCTAACTAGGGTGTAGAGCTCAAGCTGCTTATTCATCAGAATCTACCTCTGGGATGCTAAGTGTAAGGGAAAAAATATTATTAGAAAAATAAAGGCTAAGCCCATGTGCAGGAACTATAATTTCTTTGCCCTTTCAAGGCTTGTTTTTACCAGTCATGCATCTCAGGACCAAAACCCAGTGCCCCACATCCTTGATGCTTCCATCCAGAGTAAGTCAGACAATGAGGGTATGAGAAGCAAAATCTATTTTATTCCTGCAGTCATTATGGTTCTATGATTTAAATGTGTTTTAAATACAAAATGGCGCTTGTTCAATTGTTTTTTCTTTAATCAGAGTTGACAGTAGTAAGATGTCAGGTCTGCAGAAACACTTGTGCAACATGGCAATCAGAAGTGAAGATACTGTATTTTTCGCTCTATAAGACGCACCTAACCATAAGACACACCTAGTAAAGAGGAGGGATCCATGGAAAGCTTCCTGATAATCACAGGCACATTCCCCATCACTTCCCCATGTGCGTCATTAAAAGATGGGTTGCCATTTGAAAACACACACCGACCTGTGATTAACAGTTCTCACCTGTGCTGGAGGAGGGGGGTGGAGCAGGGCGCGCCGAGCGCGTGCTGGCCAGGTGGTACCACGTGGTGCAGCCGGACTGGCAGCGTGCCGGCGGTGGTCTTCTGGGCGGCGCGGTGGCAGGTCTTCCCGGGCAGTGGGGTTGAGCAGTCTGTCTCTCCGTGCGGCCGGCGAGTTAAAGCCCGCGGCTCCTCCTCCTCCACAGCAGGTCTTCCCAGGTGGTGGGATGAGCAGTCCGTCTCTCCGTGCGGCCGGCAGGTTAAAGCCCGCGGCTCCTCCTCCACGGCAGGTCTTTCCGGGTGGTGGGATGAGCAGTCCGTCTCTCCGTGCGGCCGGCAGGTTAAAGCCCGTGGCTCCTCCTCCGCACCACTCCCCAAGCGGCACAGCTCTCACCTGCGCCGGACGGGGGCGTGGTGGAGCAGCGCGTGCCGAGTGCGTGCCGGCCAGGTGGTGCCACATGGTGCAGGCAGGCCGGCAGCGTCCCGGGCGTCGGGCACACACACATTCGCTCTATACGACGCACAGACATTTCCCCTTTTGAGGGGGAAAAAGTGCGTCTTACAGAGTGAAAAATACGGTAAATGTTAGCTGTATATTTCACAAGTGAAGTAATACATTTGAACATATAAAGGGAAGTTCTGTTAAGTAACTAACTTGCATTATTGGGTGTTGCACTGAACAGAAGTCTTAGGAAACAGGACAGGAGTGCGGGGCTGGTCAAAATGTCACACTTGGGCTTGTGTTTCAATGAGTGATACATTGGTGCCTCCACAAGTAGTTCATGCTCTCTTAAGCCTGACCTGACACCTATTTGGCAGTACATGATGCAGCTTCAGCAACAGTTACTTTGGGCCACGGTATTACAACAGTGTAATATGGATATGAAACATTATTCACAATTCCACAATAGTGTAGTAGAATTGCACTACTGATAAAGGGCCAATAGGCTTGAGGCCTTAGAAGACCACAGGAATCTGGTCTTAGAACAAGTCTAACAAATTCTGCTAGAATAACCTGGTTGCATATTTAAGTTTATTAGAAGATGGCTTGGCTAGTTCAAAATAAGACACTTATGGACTACAAATAATTAAACTTGTATATAGATACTCTTTGCAGGTTTTCTTACACTTGAATTAGTTCTTTCTTCAATCTACATTAACTTCCACTTTGAAAAAAATAACCAAATATCTTAAAAATTCAGCTCCATGATTATTTCCCTCTCACTGACAGTCATCTGTCAGTTAATGTTACTATTTAATGTTAATTAAATATTTAATTTAATTTAATAATTAAATTTTAATGTTACTATTAAAACCTCAAACCAGATATGTTCTCCCAAGAGAGTAAAAAAAGGGATTCCACTGGAGTAGGGGGTGGCATATAAATATATAAATAGATAGAGCAAGCCACTGCCTCGTTAGTATATAATGCTACTTTGTGGGTTGAATAACCCATTAATTGGTAGGGTTGTACCAAAGTGATCAGGCATGTTGTCTCCCACATGCTCACCACTTCCATTTGCATCAACTTTCATAAACAACCCAGGAATGCCCTGTTCCTGGGTTGTTTGATGTAATTTGCAAACCTAGAACTCTTGATTCTTGAAATACAAAACTCTGAGTAGTTAAGTCCAATTTATTTAAGCCTCTTCTGTGATAATTATACAACAAATATAAATGGTATGTGTTTGAAAATCAGTTGCATATGTCAAAGCCTCTGAAATCAGTTCTACATACAGAACATTATGAAGCATTCCTATTAGGTTTGAAGCTTGTCTTATGATTTATTCATCATTTTTATCATTGCAAATAAAACTAGCTGTGAAGTAGCTAGCACCAAAAACAGCATTTTTTTGCCAAGTTCCTAACCACATATATAATGTGGTTCCTATATACCACATTATATATAGATTTAGTTTAATAGCAGGTATAAAGGATTTACAAAACTGGATTATAGATATTTACACAGAATTTCACTCCTATATTTACATGAAAAAGAAAGTTGCCTATAAAAATACATTCAAATAAGATTTCCTGAGTCAGCTCCCATAGGGCACAATCCTGTACATGTTTAGACAGAAAAAGTCCTACATTTCCGAGCATTTCCCAACCAGGCAACTCTCATGACTCCAGGTAAATGTTTATTGCAGCCTTACAAAGGTAATGGTCAGTGAATTTGCTACTTTCCAATATTCTTCTAAACAAAGTAGATATTGCAAATTCTGTCACAAAGTGAAAAAGTTACCAAGCTATCTGAACCATTGCTGCAAATTATAACAATATGCAGAGGGTGATATAATATGAGCAGTGCAATAACACACAAGCTCTTGTCCAAACCTGCACCTAACCAATCATACATAACCATTACAATGAAATCAATGTTACATACACCTAAATTATATGTTTAGAACTAGGGTCGGCCAAAATATAAACAAAAAACAATTTACTAAGACTTCCCAGTAAGCTTCTATTATAATTACAAAAAGTTGAATTCTGAGAGGGGTCAGATTCAGTTACAGACCTAACTTAAAAGATATGCTTATTACGACTGTAAGAAGTTTCCCTCTTCAAATTTATCATTATTTTATTATTTAAAATACAGTGTATCAAATCTTACATTTGTTTTGGCTGAATGCACATCAAAATGTTCAGTAGAAAGGTAGCTAAACCATTATTTTAATCACAGTTTTCACAGAAAGGCATATCAATCATATGAAATATTTCCCACTTAGAAGGCAATCACATCACCGAATTATCTTGTACACAATGTCTCCAACTTGAACAGTTCCTGTTTTAGTAACTCCAAAGTAGAATCCAAAGAGAGGGTGTGATTTGTAGATATGCTGTTCAGAAGGATCACACAAACGGTAGCTGAAGAGATCAGATTACAATAAGTCACACAGAAAACAGTTAAATATGCTTGTTGTATGAAGCTGGCATATACATGATTTATAAACATATATGAAGTTCTAAGTTGTTACTAAATTTGTCATTCACAGAAATTACTTGTTTGGAGAACAAGCATGGAAGAAACACACAAACAATTTATTTCCTTAAAAAAGATTGCAAAACTAAGGTTAAAAAACCTAACTGTACTTTCTAGGGTATAAATCCCACTGAACTCAGTGGCAGTAACTTCTGAGTATTTCAGGAAGGGCTTGGTTCAGTGGCTGCACATATTTTCCATGGAGGGGGTAATCATTTCAGTCCTCAGCATCTCGATAGGGCTGGAAAAACATTGCATGAAACCCTGTGCAGCCACTGCCAGTCAGTATTGACAATATTAGGCTAATCAGCCCAAAAGTCTAACTCAATATTAAATACCATCCTATGTTCTTATGGATAAGGATGCTCATAATTATACCACATGGTATATTTCCTTACAAGCAAGTTAGACCAACTTACATTTGAGCCTTCAAGAACAGATTGTTAAATTGTTAATTAATCAATTAGAACAATTGTGCAAAGCTTTAAGGCAAAGGTGAAAAACAAATATTTTAGGAATACATATTTTTAATATTGTACAAAATAGTGTGAGATGCATACAAATGGGGTAAAAAAGAAAAGTTGCATGAGATATGCAAGTCTTAGAGCATTTCATTTATTTTTTTAAGCATCGTCAGCTCAGTCTTAGATAAGGAAAAACATGGTGATGATTGGCATATTATATAACACTAACACTATATAACATTAACACATTAATGCTACCACTACTTAATGCCTGGAAAGGATGTTAATATACTCCAGCTCATATATGCATTTGTTGGTTATTATTTTAATGATAATAATACTTTTTTGGTTCAACTATCAGCATTAGAGCATTGTGAATGTTAAAATAAATTTGTCAGCAATAATGTAGTATATAAAATATCTCAAGGGTGAAATTCACTAGTGATGTCCATAGATCTCTGAAGAGGCAAAGGTTGCCTCTAAATACACTCCTCCCACTCTGCAAAACACTCAGCTGATTTTGATCATCTAAGCAAGTCACCGCAGAATAGAAAAATATAGACTTGCTGTCAGGGGACATCATATTTTGGTGCTCCCAATTTCTTCCCTGCCTCCATCCTGCTGCATTATACCCTCAAAGCCCTTCTCCTGAGTAGAGATGCAGCTGGCCCAGTTCATTCTGTTTCATGCTGAAAAGGGGAGTGGATCCAAACTCACACTAACAGCTACAAGGTGGGAGCACTGTCTAGTATCCATAGGATTTTTCTGCAAGTCATTTGCTTAATATATTTCATATGAACAAATGGATAGCACACCAAACATTTTTCCCACTTTCAGCCTAGGTCGCAAAGACACATCCCACAGCATTCTAGAGAATGAATATTTTATGTCATAACTTTATGACACATAATTTGTATACAGTCGAACTTGTTTTTCATAAGAACTGCATGCAATAATCATTGATCTATCTACCATTTGTGTTCAGGAAGAACCCCAAAAAATGTTATTACCTTTTCAAGGTTTCAAGAGGCTCCTTTCTGTCCAGAATCCCAGTATCTGGATCAATTGTAGTAAAAATACACCTACAATGAAAGTATCAAATGATATAACAAAGAACTCAAATACTGTTTGCCTTCAACTACCATTTTAAAAAAATGCCTACCGAGGACAGCCCATTGCTCCTTTCATTTCTGCATCACCAATTATAATGTCATTCCAGGTATCCTATGGAAAGATAATGTTTTATATTTAAAGTTATTTCATACTGACACTAAGCAGTTCTACTTACATAAAATTTGAATTGTTATATTCTAAATAAGAAATTTCCTGCATCAACAGTATAAATTCTGTTGATCATAAAAGACACAGGAGTAACACTTCTTTGAGAGCTCCAATTCAGTTCTGACTATACCTCATTTTTTGTATTAATTATAACATTTTATTTTTCAAGGTTTATAAAAGGTTTGAAAAAAAATCCACAAACACACACAGAATTGCTGTTAATCATATATTATATATGCATGCTACACTTCTTATGCAAATTTAAGTGTATGAATGGCAAAACCTTGCCAATGACATGATTTAAGACATTGCTATTCATGAGATCTGATGTTTGACTCACAAAGGAAATGTACAAATTAGGTAAGCTTCCTTTTAGAATCATCTACTACACTGGGAAATTCCACTGAGACCACACCCTCTGGTAGAAAGAGGGCAGGAGGGAGAATTTTTGCAGAGTCCTCCTCCAGCTGTAGTCCCCAGAAGACAGTAGTGAAGGATCCCCCAAGGCTCTAGAGCAGATTTCTGCACAGAAGGGACTGCTTCCTCTCCCATTCCACCAGTAGGATTCTTCGACCTGATCAGAAATCTCCTCCAGACAGAAGAAGCCTGTCTGTGAGCAGGAGACAGATTCTGGATCCTGCCCATTATATATACAAAGACAAGAAGAAGTAATTAAAAATTGTATAATTTTAGATAATCTCTCTCTACTCTCTGGAAGACTTGTATATATTAGAACTAGAAATACTGTGCTATTATTTAGGTAAACACCCCATATTGAAACTAGCTTTTCGCACAGTATGAAATCTCAAACTCAGAAAATCCTTGAAGTAAAAGAATTTCTTGCAACTCCAGTTTGTTTGATAACTCCTTGGCTGGCCTCCTGCACAAAGAGCACTTCTCACATATTTCGAGCCTCATTTGTCAAGGTAAATAAATTACCTGACAAATGTGGCATTTGACACTTCTTTTTCTTTATGCAAAAAAATGAAAACCTGCTTGTTGCATAACAGCCAAGCAATTGTCTACTTAATCCACCTGAGACTGGAGCTTTGTTGTGGCCTTGGGATAAATACAACTTTGATTAATATACACATTCAAAAACAAATGACATATGATCTTTAAAATGAACAACAGTGCTTAAGTTTCTCTGTCGAACCCTGGATAACTAAAATGGTTAAGATTCTTACACATTAGAGATTTTTGCCCAGTCTTAAACCACACTGCTTTTAAAACTAGAAGAAAACAAATAAATGAAAGATGTTGCTTCTTGGTACTCCAGAAGGAATTAGTTCAGCAGTAATATATGCTATGAACCCAATTTAAATGTTAATTGAAAGTAAGCATCTATCTCCATAGCTTCTTGAACACCCTAGTATTTATTCCTTCATATTATGCAATGATTTGGCTAATGTTTATAAATAAATCTCGCACTTCAATTAAATATTCATATGCATAAAGAGACACACCATTACTATCAGTATAAAAATATGTATTACCTCCTCATAAGGACCACACTCTGTAACCAAAATGTTTGGCCTGAAGTTACGTATTTGAACTTTCTTCTCCAATCGGGAATTTAGGTCCCCTAATGAAGCTTCAGAGAGTATCATAACTGGACTACAGTCAGGATAGGCAATCTAGAAAGACATAGCAATAATAAAGACTATTAGAGCCAATCAAATAAGTTGTGAATTTCATTAAAATGTTGCTACCATTTAAATAACCTTAGCTGAGTTAGAGCACAATCCAGTGAGGGTGCCCATGAACTAGAAGGATTAAGGACACCTTATGCTAAGCAGGAGAAGCCTAGAGGCTGTCACCTCTGTGCTCCTCCCACCTGGCAAAGCAATTAGATGACCAAAGTTAGCCAAATCACTGTGTTGGAGTGGAAGACATCTGAGGCACCAGTCTCCTCCCCAGCCCATCTCCCACTGAACCCCTTTATAACTTATATCGGCCATAGTATCCTTCTGGATAGGCTAGCGGGACTGGGAGTTGGAGGCACTGCTTTGTGGTGCTTCTGCTCCTATCTCAACGGCCGATTTCAGAAGGTGGTGCTGGGGGACTATGGCTCTGCACCATGGCAGTTATGCAATGAAGTACCGCAGGGGTCCATTTTGTCCCCCTTGTTATTCAACATCTACATGAAACCGCTGGGAGAGGTCATTAGGAGGTGTGGGCTGCAGAATCATCAGTATGCTGATGATACCCAGCTCTACCTCTCGTTTTCAACCAATCCAGGTGAGGCAGTGGCTGTACTGAACCGGTGCCTGGCCGAGGTAATGGGCTGGATGAGGGCCAATAAACTGAAGCTCAATCCAGACAAGATGGAGGTCCTGTTGGTTGGCGGATCGGGCCTCGGGGTAGGGGACCTGGACCTTGTCCTGAATGGGGTTGCACTCCCTCTTGGGGACAGGGTTCGCAGCTTGAGAGTGTTCCTCGAACCAGAGCTGTCATTAGAAGCTCAGGTGACAGCGGTGGCGAGAAGCGCTTTCCTTCAGCTTCGGCTGATCCATCAGCTGCGTCCCTACCTAGAGAACGATTGCCTGGCAACAGTGACACATGCACTGGTAACTTCCCAATTAGACTTTTGTAACGTGCTCTACGTGGGGCTACCCTTGAAGACGGTCCGGATAGTTCAATTGGTGCAAAACAGAGCTGCCAGGTTGCTGACGGGGACTGGGCGTTGTACTCATATAACCCCAGTCCTCCGTCAGCTTCACTGGCTTCCCATTGAAGTCCGGGCCCAATTCAAGGTGTTGGTTATCACTTATAAAGCCCTCAACGGCTTGGGACCTGGTTATCTAAAGGAGCGCTTGCGTCCATATATGCCCTCCCGCCCCTTGAGATCAGCAGCAGAGGCCCTTCTCCAGGAACCCTCCGTGAAAGATATTAGGAGGGCGAGTACCCGGAGGAGGGCCTTCACTGCGGTGGCACCCCACCTATAAAATGCGCTCCCCAGAGAGGTCCGCCTGGAGTCATCGTTATTTGTTTTTCAGCGCCAGGCCACGACCTTTTTATTTAAAAGTTATTTTAATTGTTAATTTATTGATTGTATTTATTGGGTTTTTATGTACATGCCGAGATGTTTCCGGATTTTTAAGGCTAATTATATCATTGTTTATTTATGTTGTAAGCCGCCCCGAGGCTTTTTGCCAATGGGGCGGCACAGAAATTGTTTAAATAAACAAACAAACAAACTTTGGAAATGCAGCCAGCATGGTTCTTTCTGCACCAGCTGTGTGCAAGAACGTGCTCTGAACCCAGAATCTGTACCGGCTATAGGTTTGTTTTATGAGCCACTTCGCACACACTGTAAAACAGGGAAGACGACTTGGCAGCCCCATAAGGAATGAAGCCCTTAATTCATTTGTTTATGCTTTCTGCCCATTCCAATGTTGATTAAGTGCAGTGATATATTAGACTAGAGTTCACAGGTGTGTGTGTTGAGCATGTGATGGTGAAGGAACCACATTATCCAAAGCCTTACTAGGCTCATGTTGTCAGGATGGAAGAATGGGAAGGAAGCGTAGCATTTCTTCCTACCCTTTCTGGGGGATTTTCATTAATTCCAATGGAATGAAAGTTCTTTCTTCTCCTGTTCTGGAGACATGTGCATGTTTGAGTCTCCTGGGATCCTCAGCCCCCTCCCCCCAAAAAAGCATAGCATTATAACTTAATAAATGAAAAATTGCTCTCAAAAGTTCTTGGAGAGATTTCTAAATTTTAGTTTAATGTTTCTTTTGAATTTCATGGGTAATGCCCTGGCTAGTCGCTACTTACTATAAGATAAGGCAAGGATGAACAACTTGTAGGACAAAATGTTTGGATGGTCCCAGTTCCCCTTGTTATTGGCTATGCTGGCTAGGGTTGATGGAAATTGTAGGCCAAAACATCTGGAGGAGCACAAGTTGTCCACCCCGCTTGTTAATCCATCATGTTCCGGGGATGGGGGGCAGGTTACACAGCTGTCTAGTGAAAATAATGACTCTCAAAAGAACTGATTTGGGATCTATCTTAAAAGACCAATATGAAGGATACCTGCTTGCCTGTATATGGATTTTTAAAATTAATTTATATAGCAACCTTCAGAGGAAGTTTGGAAAAACAACATCAAACAAGGACAAAGGTGGAAATAAAATACAGTAAGTTACAGCATGTTCCAATAATACCTTTAAAAGCCTGGGAGAATAAAAATACCTTTACTTTGCAACAAAAGAATAATAAAGTTGGCACCAAGTAGTCCTTCTTGGAGAAAGAATTCCCAAACAAGGTGTCACAACTAAGTAGGTTCTTTCAGTGCAAAATTATAATAATGGCTGTGACCCTCTAACTACTTACCCTGGAACAGAAGACCAGCATGTAGTACAAACGGGGCTAGCAGTTTTTTGGATTGTAGTTCAATGTTTAGCTATTAGAGCCTTGGGATTTTTGCCCCTAAAGAAAGCCTTATTTTTTTAAAAAAAAACTGTCAAGCATCTCGCAATCTGTAAGTGATCTTCTGCCTCCCTTTTGAAGACTGAGATCCTCAGTGAGATCAGGATCAGGCAAGGCTTTGGAATACAAGTAAAGAAAGACACACAGCTCTAAAGAGAGGAGTAACTCAAAGACATCAAGGGCCCCTCATGTAAAAACAAATCAGTCTAACTAAAAAACAAAACTTTCTAATATCAGAAAGTGAAATGCTCTGCATATATAATTTTCTGAAGGCTGGGTAGAAACAAATTCCATCCACTAGCAAACTTTCAGCAGGAACTTGCATATAACACCTTATTCTCTTGAAAAGTGTTTCTAAAAGTACAAGAGACAACCAATAAGCTTTAACTGAGAGATATACCATTCCAAATTCATCAGATGAGAGACTATACATTGGAAAACATATGACTTCCACTGTGGAAACTGCCTGTGACATGTAACATAAATGACTATTAAGCTGTGTTCTGACCTTATCACTGGGTTGAAAAGTTTCAAATGCATCTTTCGAATTTCTTGGACTCATATTTAGTTCAAAGTGAACCAAACGGTATGGTTCTGACTTCAGGAAGGTTCTGATCCACTGAGCTGCCTCTTCTCCACAATCTCTGCCTTGGATATCAGAGCCAAACAGCCTGAAAGATTTGTGAGATGCATCAGTACATTCTCTGCTAGCTACTGCAATTATAGTTTTCTTGAGACTAACAGAACATTGTGTTCAACAAGAGCAAAAGGTGACACCTTCCTATAACTGGAAAGCACTTAATAAAGAGCCAAATGAGATGAGATGTAAGATTTGTGATCAAATGTCCCATCACTTCAAATTCATTTTAGAACCAGTTGTGGGAACCATGAATTAGATTAGAATGAAAATGATGGAACACTTTCCCCTTTACCATTTCCGCAATATACTATCTACCACCACCTCTAAGTGAAAATATCCATAAACCTGAGTAATTAATATGATATAATACACTACAGCCCTTCACCTTTTCAAGAAGCACTATTTCATTAAGGAGCAACTGTAGAAAACTTATATGGGGAACATTCACCCACCATGCCTGTTCCTTAGATAATGTGTGAAGGTCTCGTGACAGTTGTGGGAAGGTATGGCCATGCCTGTTTTTTTTTTCTTCTTCTCTGTCACTCACTCACATATATGCATACAAATAAAAGTTCCCTCCATCACACACAAGGAATTTGTAAAAGATTCCCATTCACCCTGGTGGTATGATTTTCCCCAAGTCAGTCTGATGCACACTAGTTTCCCAGTGCGGATGGTACAGGTACTTTAACTCTTCAGCCCTTACACTTGCAATACGCAATGAGGAAAACTTCCTATTGAAATGTGTGCTAATTTTGCAATAGGAACTAAGGGTTAACTCTCTTCTGCATGTCCCACACCAAGGTCCCAATGCAGAGTTGGTTCTTTTCCTCTGCTGGCTGTGGAAGTAAGAAATTCCCCCTTCACAATCAGCACAGAAACTGAGGAGGATGAAGAGAGGCCCCAGGAACCGAATAGCAAGAGGTTCCCCATCTCTGCCACAGATACACATACATTTAAAAGCACAATTCATGGAGACTCTGCTTCAGAACTGGTAGTAAGGCTCAAAAATATAGCATTTATTATATCATGGAATAGTTTTACTGTATATTTTATATTTTTAAATTATATTTTAATGTGCTGTTATGCTTTTGGTTCTGTAAGCCGTCTTGAGATCCATTTCAGATATAGACAGGATAAAAATGTTTTAAATAAATAAATAAATAAATACTTTAATTTTATCACCAATAATTATTTTCTTCAGTGGAACATTTTGCTTAGTTTGGAAAGGCCATGTATAATATTCTAAAAGAGTAGACCCCCAGTTCTAAGAACACTTAGCAATATACTTTATCTAGCTGTAGTCTGAAGATGCTGAATATTCCAAATTATGTTAAAACTGCAAGAAGATGACAGAAGGCAGTCTAAAGCACCTGCAGTTCTGGATTGCATTTCTGGTTGGGAGACTGACAGGAATGCGAAGATCGTTCATTTCTGGAGCACTTAGAATTAAACAACCATTTTCACTGGTGATAGAAATCAACACTAGCCGTGGCTCTTGCCGAGCAGTCACCATATGTCCATCTTCTTTTATTACAAGCCAACACCTGAATTAAAAACAAACTGAATTAAAACAGATACTAAAAAAATCAACTAAACCGTACAGCAGGAGTTCAGAACTTGGGGCTGTGGCAAATTCTAACCTGCCTGGGGATCCCAAAAAATCCCCCTGGAGTTCCCCAGAGCCACAACTTCTTCTCTTGGCTCCACCCCTTTCCTCCAATTGCCAATTTTTCAGAAGTTTCCTGGCTTTTGAGTGGCTTATACTGGTTCTAAACTTTTGAAATACCTTTCTTAAGTTTTAGTCAGCAGTGATTAGCACTTCAAACTAAAATATGCTCATATTTTGGCTCTGACCCATTTTACCTTCTGTTATGCCCCCTTTGCTTTTGCTCCCCCAACTGCAAAGCAGCCTCTCAGATAGTCTCTGAAATGGAATTTAGCCTTGCAGTGAAAGAAATTCAACACACCTGTGTTACAGAATCCAACTCAGTTCATGTTCATCCAGTAATTATAAAAAGTGAATACTTCAGTTGCTATTCAACACTGCTGTTTGTTCATTACACTTGATTTCGTCCCCAAGCAGTCCCTTGTACCAGTCAGGTCAAGACTTGATTGAACTACATCACAGCAGTCTGGATGGCCAGTCTTTAGAAAGCTGTCTTCCTCCCAGATATACAATTCTACCTTAAGCACACACATGACATCTTTCTTAAGACAGGGCCAGCATCAGTGCCATAACAGCTTATGGCTCCACCCATTGAGACATGTTCTCTTGCCAAGGTCAAAGAGTGCTGTGACCATCTCCACCACCTTATGAATCCCAGGATGTTTTCAAATAGTGGCTTCTAGTGCTACCTGTAAAAGACACTGTGCACCTAATTTTGTTTTCCTTTCTTAACAGATTTTCTGCAGTAGGAATGGAACAAGAAAAAGTAGTGAAAAAATACAAGTGGGTCACAAATGGACGAGGTTGTCATCAGACCCCTTGCAAAATTCTATGCATGAGGGAAGACACTTATGCAAAAAGAGCCTTATCTGGAAGTACACTAAATTCTGCCTCATCAAGGCACAGAAGTCATACTCATTTCTCCACATAGAAGATACTGCGGTGGACTAAAAGGCTGGGTTAGAAATGTAGAAACAGAGCAAGTCAGAAGGGGCCTCTGGGCCATCTGGTCTGTCCCCCAGTTCTAGCCGGCTCTGCTTACATGCCACAGGTGGGTTGTGAAAAATAAACAGTGGGAAAGAGTTGGGGGAAAGGGGGCTTGTTCCTCAATTTTTGATCTAGCTCTTACAGATGCCCCTTGAAAAGGGCTTCACTTTGTTCTATGGCAAGTAGCAAGAGATACGGTTTAGTGCCTGAAGCATCATTTGCCAATTTCTGCATGTTGACACTGTTAAAAGAAAAACTTTTTTAAAAGGCACTCTAAGGAGAAAGAGCACATTGACTACAGCAGAGGTGTGTTTAACAAAGATGTGTAGGAAGAGGGGAGAACAAACAGGGGCAAAGGTATTAATATTCAAAAAGTCGTTGTTTCAAGAAATAATCAAGAATTATGTACAAACTCTTAGCTTGGACATTATTCTAGATTATTTCTTGGAAAAACAGCTTTTGACTAGCTTGACTTAGTTCCAAACAAGTCAAGCTAAAATTCAGTTGAACCCTGCCTTCAATGATTGTCCTTGCTTCTCTTATTGCAAAAGGCCATAATGAAAAGAGAAAAAGATGCCTAGCACTTTCAGGATGAATTTTTGATTAGGATATGTGCCTCTGCTTACTCTGTTGAAAAGTCTCTTAGTTCCCAAACAAACACAAACAGCTGTAACCTTTATATCACACTCAGAAAAGTTTAGTTCTACTAAATCAACATCTACCAAAGAATGCAACATGATCCTAAACATATTTTCTCTCAAAAAAGTACTTTACCTCATGGGATTTTAGCTCTCAAAGATATAATTTATAACATCGGTTACTCAGCCTGGAAAACATACAAATTGCACAACATTGCACAACACTGCACATGAGAGGCATGGATTGCAGCCACATAACTACAAATAATTAACATTATAGTGATCCTTCCATCCCAGCCTCAATTCATATAAACACTGCTTGGGAATGTGAAAACTTCTTTCCTATTGGTGCTACAACCTTGAGACTAACACAAGAATTAAGAGTTACCAACTAGCTGTAACTACCATTACACAGGAGTCCCAAAGATCCTATTCATGTTTACTCTGAGGCAAACTACACCAGGTTCTGTGGGACTTTTTCCAGAAAAAAATGCACACAAAAGCCAGATCTAAGAGAGAATTCTTATTACACTTACTGAAGAGTATATCCCACTGGATATACACTGACTGCACCCTCCAACCCTAAGCACACTTACTTGAAAGTAAACCCCAGCTAGTGCAGAGAGATTTGCTTGAGATTTGCTCCTGCACAGCTTTCACAAATTCTTAAACATCAGTGTGTAGAACCCGCTAAGAACTGGAGATCGGGGCAAGGAAGGCTGAAATAGTGCGGAACTAGGAAGTTCATCATTACTGGTTACATTTTAGTTTGCTGTGAATTCTAACGAGACATTTTTCCCTGCGGGGAATCCAAGGAGGTTTTACACAATCCTCATCTCAAGTCTATCCTCACAACAACCCTGTGAGGCAGGCCAGTGACTGACCAGAGTCACCCAGCGAACGTGATCGGGCTGCGGTTAGAACGCGAGTGCCCCGCTCGCAATTTGCGGGAATGGCGCTGGGAGGAGAAGCGGCAATGCCCACACACACGCGGAGGTCGCGGGGTGCCGAGAAAGCCAAGGCCTCCCCTCCTCACGGCGCACCTACCTGTCCCTCATGTCTCCGCTCCGGAGACCCAGGCGGGTCACCTCGGCCCGCTGCACGGCCAACCCCCGGCAGGACTTGACCGGGTAGACGAAGAGAGCCGACACCGTCCCCACCCGCTGCAGCCGCGTCCTGCGCCGACGGTGGCCCCGTCGCCACCAGCGCCAAGCCGCGGCCGACCCCAGCAAGGCGAGCACGGCCAAAGCGGCGGAGGCCACGAGCCAGCCGAGACGCGGCTGGGGCGGCGAGGAGAGGCCGGAGCCCGCCATAGCAACGCCTTACGGAGGCTGCGGTGGGAGCGGACGCAGCGCCATGACGAGGTAAGCGGGTTATAAGCGGAGCAGGCGGAGCCCTGCTGAGAGATTACTGGGGAGGACAGCGGTGCTTGCTGGTGGGCCAAGCCACTGCGAGCGCGGAGGGTGTGTCGAGGGAGACCGACGGGAGTATGGGCGGGAAAAGCGGCTCCGCTGCCGCCTGCAGCGAAGAGCGCAGATTCAGTTCCACGAAAGCGCGCGGACGCGCAGCGGCGCTGCTGGCCGGTCGCGTCCCTGCAGACTGGGCCACCCTGCGCCTTCACACGGCTGCGTTCTCGTTGGCTGGACTTGGCTTTGCCCGGGTTGGAACAGCGCTTAATTTGATACAGCGAGGCTGTGTTCAAGCAAATTTGTACATCAGAGTTGGGCACAGTAGCCCGTCCAGCCTGGGAGAAGCCATGCCCGCTAGCACCGCTCGGTACCGCCCCGGCCTTGGTGCACGCCTGGAAGCCCGGGGAGAGAGGGCTGCCCGCTTCGTTCCCTTCATTCCAGCTGTCCCCATTAACTAAGCTCACCTGGCTTCTGAATATAAAGCTCCGTACTAATTAGGGAAGCCTGCTCCTAGTCGCTGAAGATGTCGTTGCAGCCTTCAACCACATGGACATATTTAAATAAATACGTTTTAAAAAAGAAACCACGGGATGCACACCCCTAGGGACTTCTTGGTGTGCGTGCCACGTTTCGGGCGCTTGGTTTTATGGTTTGGCACTGTGGGTTTGATGGACATCTAGGCACACATGCTCCCTGATTAACAGATTTTTGAATTGCTCTGTAACAATGTTCTCAGGCCCATGGACAATCATTGTACAGGAGATACAATTACAGCAGATAAAGCTTTCAGACAGGTGTAGCTGCACCTTTCTGTAAAGAGAGAATTTCAGCAGGTCCCTTGTCAGGCGAACCCGCTGAAAAAACCCTTTTAAGCAATCATTAAAGGTGGAAGTGCCTGACCACTTATTAATCTGGTCGCTGTGCCTGTGCATGCAGAGGTGTTTCTTTCCTGGGGGCATTTCTTTCCAAATGTTTTTGACTCCAACTCCTCACCAGGCCACCATGGTTTATGGTCAAGGGTTATGTGGGTTGTGGTCCACCGTCATCTGGAAGGTCTGAGGTTGCCCATTTATCGTGTAGAGCCATAATGAATGGATTACTTTTTCTTCACCTACAAAAGTTGCAGGTAGATATCTTGTTCCATTAGAAGCCAATCTAAAGAACAACTATAGCTGTTTCATTCTTTTATTATGGCTAAATTCACAGAAAGTGGTGAGAAAGTTTAGGGTTCACTCTACATTTTCAGAGTTTGGGTAGAATCAATAAATTCCATGCATATTAAATATCATATCAGCCATTAATTTTTAAAATAATATCAGAACTGCCTCAGTGGATCAGACCAAAACTGTTAGCCAAGTATCCCAACAGCAATCAGCTGGATGCAGCTGCAGGGTTCAGGTCAGAAGTGGTGATTTTTGCCATCACCTGCTATATGTGAAAAAGCATCTGTTTTTCAGATAAAAGGGCTCTGAGTTGAGATTCCTTACTGTCATGATTAGTTTGTTATAGATAGATCTGATACTTAAAGCCATCCGTTTAAATCTTACATAACTGCTTAGTCTCTCAACCAAATGAGGTGAGACATGTGGCAATTTTTTTCAGTGGTGGTACCCTCTCTGTGAAATGCCTACCCAGAGAGGTACACTTGGCACCTTAAATCTATGTTATGCCATTTTTGGCCTTTTCCCAGGTATTTTAGGAACCGTTTGTAGTGTTTCACTTTATTTTATCCCTGGCATGGTTTTAATTTTTTACTTTTGGTTGTACTATGTGGTATTGCTGGTGTAACCTTGTTATTATTGCTTTATTGCTACTTCATATTTTATATTTTTATGTTGTACGTAAGCCAAAGAACTATATGGAGATTTTAAATTGTAATAAACATGCATATTTTCATATCAGAGTCAATATATCTGTGTATACCAGTTGCTGTGGAACTGGGGCAGGAGGAAGTAGTTGCACAGAAATCCTTCCTGTGGGATCTTGTGGGCAAATGGTTTGCCACTGTATGAACAAAATACTGCACTAGATAGACCATTGTTCTGATCCAGCATGGCTTCTCTTTTGTTCTTTTCTTCAAAGAATTTGTTTCTATCACCAAATTATGTAATAGTGAATTTCAAGAGGACAGTTATCTGTTATCACTTGATTTTTACCTATACGCAAATCATCTTGATTAGGGTGACTTAGGACATATTTATTTATTATAGTAATACCCCACCTGTTTTCCTTCCAAGGAACACAAGGTGTCTTGCATAATTCTCTTCTTTCTTTCAGTCTTATCCTCGCAGCAACAACCCTGTGAGACAGGTTGGGCTGAGAATCTGCAATTGGCCCAAAGTCACCCAGTGAGCTCCATGACTGAATGAGGGCTAGAACCCAGATCTCCAGAATCCCAGTCCTGCGTGCTTAACCACTATACCACACTGGTTCTCAAACTGCAAATCCTATTGCGGTGCTCACAAGCCCCAAACTCAGGGGCCTTGATTCATCCTATGCAAGGTGGGAAGAGTAGCAGAGGTGCTTTTGATCTTCCTAGTCTTGGGCATCACATTTTATGCTAGACATAAAAAAAAGGTGCTAGACATCATTTTTTGCTGTCTAGTGAAAGTGTTTTAGAAGGGAAGGAAAGAGGCTAGAAAGGTCCTAGGATACTTCATATCCTTTCCTGTCCAGTCTTTTCTGCCTCCTCACCTACTGAAACTCCTCTGCCAAGGCCAAATTGTTGACCTTGGAGCCACAGCCAGCTTAGTTCTTTTCATGCCAGCTGTGAGTGGGAGGAGGGACAGATATTTGGAGAGCCAAATCTGTTACTTCCAACCTTGGATCTGGAAATCCAAAGTACACAAACACTGTGCAGGGGTGGTAAGATTGCTTCCTCCAGTCAAATCCCAATATTATGAGGGAGAGGAGAAAACCCATTTTTTCTGGAGGGATATATGTGCTAATAGCACCATGCTATGTATTGTAAACAGAAGGAAATGCAGGCTTGTTGTAAGACTTTTTCTGTCTAAAGAGGCATATGATTGTGTTTTTAAAGAAATGTAGATCTTTACTTTTAATTAGAATATTTAAAGTTTTTAATCTTTTTGTTGGTGTTGAGGTATTTGCATATTTTGGTTTTATGTAAAGATTAGATTTTTTTCTTGGAGTAACTTAGCAGTTTCACAAATATATATATAATTACAAATTCTTGGGGAAATGTTGGGTCCCCTTCAGGGTGCACTGTGGAAAGTAAAGATTTGTTCTGGTTATAACTGATATGAGACCATAATGGGTGATAGTTCTGACATCACAATGAGCCCGTAGCAACCACTGAAGCATAGACACAAAAACAACTGCCTTGTGAACTCAGTCTGCCTTTGGCTGGCTAAGTGGGAGTCACAGCTAATGAATTTTCCTGACATTTGAGGTTCAAGGTGTCCAAAATTTTGATCTCTCAGATCGATCAGGACCTGGAACCTCAGCTCACACGCTTCAGGGGCATCTTTTCATGTCCTTGCCTCTAATCCTCCTAGACTTTTGTCTCAATTGGCACATTTTACCAGCTCACCGCAGGCATATGTTACAGAGGTAATATATGTGGATGGTTCTCATGTCTGGGGAAAATGGTGTTCAGTTGCTTCTGGATGGTATTGTGCTCCTGTTGACAGAGCAGGCTCAGAGCTCATGGCTTCTCCTTTAGCCAGCTCTACTTCAGAGTGGTGTTCAGAGGCCCAGATAGCATTTGTGGCATGGAGCATCTCTTATCAGCTATTGCAGCCCTGGACAGGGATCATACTGCCATGGCTAACTGTGGCTAGTTTCCAGCAATGTGTTATATGTGGGGCTGCCTTCGAAGACAATTCAGAAGCTTCCGATACTTCAAAATAATATAGCAGTCTGAATTTTAAAAGGTACACTTCATTAGAATCTTTTTTTTCTAGTTTTAAAAGAGCTTTGATGGTTTTCTGTTTGCTTCTGAGCCTAACTCAAAATTCAAGTGCTTTAACTTCAGTGTTTTAAACAGCCTGAAACCTAAGCACTTAAGAAGCCTAGTTCCTAAGATCAATTACTACTAATGGAGTGCCTTCCCTACAGAGGCCCGCTTGGAACCAAGGTTGCTATCTTTTAGGTCCTAGACAAAACCTTTTTGAATCATCCAGACATTGTGTGTGTGCATAGTTAGTTTTAGTGTATTGCATTTAATGTTGTGTTTATACTTTTCCACTGTTGTTATCTGCCTTAGAAAGAATTTTGATGAATGGCTATACATTTTTAAATATAATGTAAACCTTCTTTTAGGATTCGCTGGAGGAAAATATCAGAGTCCTGTGACCTGAGAAAGAAGAAGCAGAAGGCTTGGCAAAGAAGACTTTGTGTAAGGACAATGGGAGACTGGAAAACCTACATCAATACCATCCTGAAGGATAAGAACATAGAAGATGTCGCTATTGTGGGTCATTCTGACAATAAATCTGTGTGGGCTTCTAAGCCGGGAGGCCTGCTGGCAGCCATCTCTCCCCAAGAAGTAGGAGTCATCACTGGACAGGACAGAAAAGCTTTCCTGCAGACAGGAATCACCATTGCTGGAAAGAAGTGCAGTGTAATCCGTGACTACTTGCTGGTAGATAAAGATGCTGTGATGGACACTAGAACCAAAGGTGGCGATAGCAGGTCCATCTGTATTGGAAAGACGACTAAAGCTCTCATATTTCTCATGGGCAAAAAGGGGGTCCATGGAGGAGCTCTTAATAAGAAGATGCATGACATGATAGCAAGCATGAAAACAAAAGGCAGTTAGAGCATGAGTCACTTTTCTCCTTGAGGAAGGACTGCTGTTGCTTTAAAATAAAAGGCACTTTGCCAACTCCTCCCTTTTTCTTTGAGTTGTGAGGCATGATGGAATTTGCCTAGGGAAATCGGAACGAACCACCTTATTCCAAGGCATGGAAATCCACTTGTGTCTGTCCAGATTTTTGGGTTTACAACTCCCATGGTCCCACACTATTGGCTAGAGATGTTGGGGGCTCAAGACCAGACCATCGGGAGGGCCACCAATTGCCCACCGCTGCTCTAAGATACCATCCAGAAGACAAATTCGGAACTTTCCATTGTCCAGAACCATGAATGATCAGAGAAGGGAAGGCAAGAGCAAGAAACATGATTTGAAACCATTCTTTCAGCATGGTTGAAGCCATGTTTTCAACAGTAGCTCAGACAGTTTTCAGAGCACTTTCCAGCTAGAGAGCTCCTAGCACAACAAATGAAAAAGTTATCCAACCATTCCACTTTCCAACTTATTTGCTATTTTTAAAAAAATAGCACTGTGGAAACATGGGAAGGTTACAAAACAAAGGAAATGATATCTGGGCCTATTGGTAAAACCCGCCATGTATGTGGCATGGAGATAAAGGCCTCATCTGGAAGCATCCCAATGGGAAGCCTTGTTTAAACATCAAAGTCCATTGATCCTTCCTTAGATCATTCTTAAAGCTGAAAGCAAAGCTAACCTAACACAGAGCAACTTTCTGTTCAGCAGTGTTATAGACTGCATTTCAAGAGTTCAAGGTATTTTACAGACATGATCTCAGTAGTCCTCAGAATAGCCCTGTAAGGCTGAACTGAACAGGCTACTTAGTGGGAGGAACTAAACAGGTTTTCCTTACCTGCTAAAGCCCCAGTATGATTAGCAAGAAATATTCCAGCTGTGCCTGTACTGCTGTGCAGCCTATGCGAGTCATCTGTTTCTTCCCCACTCCCCTCCCTTTGTTTCCTGTTCTTACTGTTCCCTCCTGTTCAATTTTAAATTCCCTTAAGGACCTTCCTTCTCCATTAGTGTGGTGAGGGCATGTTTAACAGGCACTTAACTAGAGGTTCGTAGTCTCCCATTTGGCTTTACCTGACCTCATGCTGACATTGCATCTGTCAGCAGGGAGAATGATTACTGGCAGTGCGATTTGCAAGTACACCACAGACAAGCATGGATCCAGCACAGTGCATATTGCAGACTATTGAAATTATCAGGGCATGTTTATCACAGCACTTGGCTTTCACACAAGCATTCACAGAAGGGCCATGCAGAACTGAACAGTATCAATCAACTGTACTTTCCTGGAAGAACTTGAATCCCCATATTTCCCCGTAAATATGACTGGCAGGGCTGCCTGTACCCATAAGCAGCTGCTGGGTTGCAGCAGCGTGGTGTTGGAGGAGAGCTGTGTGCCAGTGGCTTGCCCTGTAATCTAGCTAGCCACTTTCACATGCAGTGGGTGAAGCTGTCTCATCTCCAGGGGATTAAGAAATAACTGCCAGTCTAGTCCAGTTTTGTACATTGAATGGGGAAAGGCACCACCGTGCTCTTTGGTTCAGGCAAAAAAAAAAATGATTTGGGCTGCCCTGTTGATGGAGTGACTCAGCACATCACTCCTAGCACAGCCTTCCCCAACCTGGTACCCTCCAGAGGGATTGGCCATATCTCAAGAGAAGTGACATCCACATTCATCAGTGAAATTCCTGTTTGTGGTTATAGTAGTTCAAAGGTAGTCTCTGGTTGGCATTGTCAGGCACAGCCCAGCAGTAGCCCATCACTGATCTCTGAAGCCCTTTCTGCATCAATGCAGCAGGTTCTTGTTGCCATGGTCTGTTCACCTCACCTCTCTGAGCAAGCAGGAAGAAATGGAGGAGGAGGAGGAGGAGGAGGAGGAGGAGGAGGAAGAGCTGCCCATGTTCATCTCGCTCTTACTCATTTGGTGGCAGGACTCTACCATCAGGCAGAGCCAACTGTCTCAGGTGGTAGATCCTGGAGGGGCATTGGCAGCAACAGCAATCCCCACCCTTTCCTTCTAAGCCCCCCAAGGATTCTCTTTGCTCAGAGATCAGAATTGTATCTCCTGCATAGCCTGTCCATCAGCCTACAAGCTTGGCTGCTGCCCTCTGGAGGAGTGAAGGACCCAATGCCAGTGCTGAAGGAAGGTTCAGTAGCTAGGCTGGTCAGCATATTTAACTGGAATAGGGAGGGCACCATCCTGTCCTTGTCCTCAGACAGCAGTTTAACAGCCCTGTGGATTCATCCCAAGGAAGAAAGCAGGAGAACTGACTGCGGTGAGGAGGTGATGGACTTGCTCCAGGATGGTGCAGTGCTCCTTGAGTTCATCTTGCTGGAGAAGCTGTTCCAGGGTCACCTGCTCACTCCAACAGGCTTTGCTGTAAAATTTGCAGAGATGGGAGGTGCTGGGCTTGTGCTGCATAAGAGGCAGGATCACAGAGTGGATAATGCTAATGACAGAATCAAAGAATAGTAGAGTCGGAAGGGGCCATGATCGCCATCAAGTCCAATGCCCTGCTGTTGCAGGACACCATGTTATACCATCCCGCTCAGATGGCTGTCCAGTTTCTTTTTGAATGTCGCTAGTGCGGGAGGGCGCACCACCTCTGTAGGCAGCTGGTTCCACTGTTGTATCGCTCTGACAGTGAGGAAGCTCTTCCTGATGTCCAGCCTGAATCTGGGTTGCCACAACTTGAATTGATTATTCCGTGTCCTACACTCTGGTATCAGCAAGAAGAGATCTTGACCTTCCTCTCTGTGGCAGCCTTTGAGGTACTGATAGAGGGCTATCATGCCCCCCCCCCCCAGTCTTCTCTTCTTAAGGCTGAACATGCCCAGTTCTCTCTGTCTGTCCTCGTAGGGCAGTGTTTCCAAACCCTGGATTATTTTTGTTGCCCTCCGCTGGACCCTTTCTAATTTACTTGCATCTTTCTTAAATCTTGGTGCCCAGAACTGGACACAATATTCCAGGTGAGGTCTAACTAGTGAGGAGTATAGAGGAACTACTACTGTACTTCTCATGATTTGGAAGGGATACTTCTGTGAATGCATCCCAATAACCTTCCAGATTTGGGTTATTCCTTCTTATGCTGTGGCTCTGTGAGGGCACCCAAACTTGTGTCAGGGACGCTTAGGGGGAAAACTTTTGTAATGGCACCTCCATTCCTGCTATTGGGCAACATCTAGTTTTCCCATGGATGCTTGTTGAGAGCAAGCTATGAACTTTACAGGGTTGGAAATGGTTCTGGGGAATTTGATTTCTGAGCCCAGGATATAGAAGCCTGTAAAAGATCTGCTGGAACAGACCCAAGCCCTCTCTGGTCCAGGATCCTGTATCACAGCAACAAACCAGATGCCTTTGGGGAGGACGCAAGAGGACCCTCCAACTGGGGCACCCCAGCATCCTTCCTCTGACCTGGTGGCATCATATAGCCATAATCTTTCTGGTTTGTGATCATAAAATAAAAACTACTGCTACTATTATATAGCCATGATGACTCATAGCCAATGATAGTCTTAATTTCCCCATGGATTTTTGTATGCCCCCTTTATAGCCATCTAAGTTACTGGCCGACCCCACATCATGGAATACTGAAGCCCTTTTTAAAATTGTCCACTGGATGAAGAAGTACTTCCTTTTGTTCTGAATCTCCCGCCACTCCATGAGCTCTGGTACTATGAAGGAAGGAGAAAACTGCACCATTTTCTCTCACCATACTCCATCAAATGTGTCAGGAGCTAGGTTTACTCCTTTGCCTTTACAAAACAACAGCGCCCAAGCTCTTTATTCTATAGTGTACGTCCAGCAAACCACAATCAGCAAAGAGACTCTGAGCATGCACAAAGCAGTTTGTTGAACCCACACTAGAAACTACTTCTGAGAGCCCTCCTTTGGAGTATTCCTGGGCCCTAAACCTCTGGGAGGGCCCTTTGGAGGCAGGCCAGCCTCTTAGCCATACACTGCCCCTCCAGTTGGCTAGTCTTCCTCTCCCAATGGCATGTCATGAGGCTCATCCAGCTCCTGGGGCTCCGGTTCCACACCCCCTCCCAGCAGTTGCAGACTGTGGCTAGTCTCAGGTCTGCCTGAACACCTGGAGAGGGTGGCCTAGAGATAACCCCTCCCTCCTCTTCCGCCTTGGTACCTGGAGCCCCCATTTCCCAGGGATTCTCCACCCCCCCCCCCAAGAGTCCAAGTCTCCCTGGCCTTGAAAGGGCACCAGGAACATCGGCTTCTTTCCTTTGCAACACCATTTCCCTCGGTTTGGAGAGATCCTTCTGGAGCTCTTTGCAACTGTTTTTGTTATTACGGCCTGAATCATTCACCTCATCCAGGACATTTGTGAACAAGCTTAAAAACACCCATCCCAAAATGTATCCTTGGCTTGGGGAGGGGAGGATCGGACGGACTCCACTTCTTACATCTCTTTCTATTAGAAGAGCTGTTCATTTATGCCCATTTTCCTCTTCCACCTCCTTAAGGACCCATCTCATGACTGCTGCTACATTTTTCCAGGATTGTAACAGTCCTGGGGAAGGACTTTTGGAAACTCTAAGTGCATGGCTGTGTTGCTTCACAGGTGCAAACAGTGGGAAATGTGCTATATGTTGCATATAATATCACATGTGTGAATACTACTTATTCAGATTGTGACTGTGTTCACAGCATAAAGTAATACAATCGGCTTTGGATCTCTGCAGCCCGCAAACAAGAGAGCATCTCACTCCTGTGTAGCATACCAAGCACACTGATGAATGCATAATACAGCACACCTATTAATCTCACAACATACGGTAAAGCCCTCAGCTATTATAGGATTCCTTTGAAACGCCAGATTGGTTTTCTTGTAAACGCTGCCACAGCAATACCCAAGTGTTAATTGCTGATGCTGTTCAATTCCTGACTGAAAGGGTGCCCGTTAAGTAAGACCCAAGATTTCTATCTGGAAATCTTTTATTTTGTAATTAAGGTTTACTCA